CGTCTGGCTCGGCAAGCACTACAAGAAGGTGCGGGCTGAGGGGCGCGCGGGGTCGGGCTGAGGGCAGCTGCAAGCCCTCCCGTGATGTGGGGGGGTCGCTGCGTGCTCGTCGGGGGATTAGGGCGACAATAGCGAGGAAAACGGGGGTGGGAGCGAGGCCGAGGAGCCGGTGGTGAAAGGGCCCCGTGAAACGGCCCAGAGATGCGAATGCACGAGGGACAGGAAAACGCAGCCTCCTTCCTGGGTGAGGTCCCGGGGTCCCCTGTCACTCGGACCCCTCGAGTCATGCAGCGGTGATGGGGCCGCGCCTGCCCCGGCCCGTGCGTGCCGTCGGGACGTGTCCGAGGGCGAGTGAATGCTGTGTGGTTTGCTCTGCTCAGTGTTTCCCCTGACTTTTGTCTCTTAGTTGTGCCAAGCAATCGGCGATGTGCCCTCGGGGGCCCCCCTCGCCAGGCAGGGCTTATAGCTGGACGTGGTGGACTTCGGCCCACGTTCCAGACTGGGATATCGAAGTCCGGTGTCACGCCACGGCAGAGCGGATGCGGGCAGGGAGAGTGACCGGGGGTTGTTTCTGCTGTTGCTCTCCCGCTCGCGGCCTCCAGCACTTACAGGCGTAGGATGTTCTGATTCGGAGGCCGTGCCCCTCGCTCCGCCGCTCAATAGCGACGGGTGCCCCTTTCCTCCAAGAACGTGTCCAGTCCCTTTCTGTATCTGGCTAAATGGTCAGCTTCCACCAAAGCTGGTGGCAACGAGTTTCACAGCCTCTGGTTGCTGTTCTTCCCACAGCTTTTCTTTTGTGTGTCTCCCACCAAGTCCTGGGACTTCTTGGTTGATCTCCTGGGTCTGGCCATCTGCTAGACAGGGAGGAGGCTGTGGCCAGGGGAGCCTGGGTGAGTGTGGGGCTGTCTTCTTTTTACTCCCCCGCTCACGTCTCCGGGCAGTTTCGCTGGTCAAAGTCCGCAGGCTCGTTCAGGGGCAGCTGGTGTGCTCCGCTTGGTGTCCCTTTCTGCCTCCCTTGTTATTAACCTGCAACTTCACTGCCTTTCCTGTTTCCTTATGATTTGTCCGAAGAAACCTGCTGATGTCTTTAGTGGTCTCCATTATTATAATTATTATAATATAATTTCCTTGGTGGGCTGTGGGCCGCAATCCCCCCTGGCACATCAGAGAGCCCTGTCTCCAACAATGGGAGAAATGGATGCCAGAGGGAAAGCATTGAACCAGATATCTCTAGAGTGACATATCCCCTATTCACTACCCTCCCTGGATGCACCGTTATCGGGTTGGAGATGCTGGGGGAAAT